AAGTTCAAAAAATAGATAACAAAAGCAACCAAAAAGACCAGGATCAACAAAATTAATTTCTGATGAAACAGATGTTGAGGCACCCCTCCCCCCAGGAAAAACAAAAACCCTGCATAAGAAACAAGTGAGAACAATGATTAAAGGGCCAATTGAACAGGAAGACATATAATAATAATAAAACATCTCTATGCACCCAATGAAACAACATCAAAATATATAAATCAAACACTCACAGAAGTGAGGCAAGAAATAGAAAACCGTACAATTACAGAAGACTTTAATACAGCGCCTTTGATGAAGGACATGAGCAACCAGAAAGAAACTTAACAAAAATACAGAAGAACTAAAGAACATGACCAGCCAACTTGACCTTGGAAACATATACTTCCCCCCCAAACAGCAGATAGGCATTGTTTTCCAGTGCACATAGTACATTTTTCAGAATAGATCATAACTTAGGCCACAGAGCAAGACATAGTACATTTAACCTTGAAATACTACCACAAATCTTCTCAAATTACATTATTAAAAAAATCAGAAGTAATAATAGGAAGATAAAGGAGAGGAATAAAGTACATGAGCATTACTTAAAAATGACTTGGTACTAGAAGAAATAAAGAATAATAATTTCTTGAATCAAACAGGAATGAAAACACAACATGCCAAAACCTTGTGACACAATGAAAGCAGTCTTCAAAGGGCAATTTACAGCACTTACATTAAAAAAAAATAAAAGAACCACAATCTATACCTTAACCCAACATCTCACAGCAAATAAACCTACAGCCACAGGGAAAAAAATTAGGGCAGAAATAAATGAAACAAACAAAATGATAAAATCTCCTAGAAAAAACTTCACAAGACAGGAAATTGGTTCTTTGAGAGAATTAACAAAATTGATACACTCCTGGCAAATCTAAGAAAGAAAAAGTTACACAAATAAGAAATAGAATAGGCACCCCCACAACAGAGACGCCCGCAATACAAAGGAGAGCAAGAGAAGATGTTGAAGAACTGCACTCCAACAACTTTGAAGACCTAGATGAATGGACGCATTTCCAGAGGCATGCTGCTACTTAAACTAGTACAAACGGAAGAAGAAAATATGAGTAGAAACATTACCAAAACAGAAATTCAGTAAGTCATTAAAAATTCCCAACAAGAGAAGTCCAGGTCCAGACGCCTCACTGGCAACATATAAAATCTTCAGAGAAGAGCGGATGCCAGTTCTGTTGAGATGAGTCCAAGTACAGAAAGGGATGGGAAACTTCTGGACTCATTTTATGAAGTAAATATAAGTCTGATACCCAAACTAGACAAAACATCACTAAAAAAATTATAGACCAATGTTCATTTTGAACATAGCTGTGAAAAATTCCCAACAAAAATTTAGCTAATAAAATAGAACAACATAAAAACAAACAAAATACATCATGACCAAGAGGGATTTATATCAGGTATGCAAGGATGGTTTGACATTAGAAAAACATTCAATGTAATCCCTTGCAGAAATAAAACAAAGGATAGGAGCCACCTGAGCTTATCTATTGAGCAGAAAAGGTATTGATAAACTCTAACACCCATTCCTGATAAAAATCACTCATCAAAAAAAGAGTGGAAAGGAAATCCCTAAACATCATTTAAGGAACAACAAAACCACTAGCCAACAATACTCTCAATGGAGGGAAACCGAAGCTGTTGCCGATGCAAGTGGGAAAAAAAAAAAAACAAACCCCCTTCCCAACCCCCCATTCAATATTGTGTCGGAAGTCTCAGTGGGTACTAATTGAAAATTCCACAAATGGCAGGGTACAACATCAGTGTACAAAGTCAGTCAGATTCGGTTATATTAACAAGAATATCTCTAAAGAGAAATATAATACAGTACCATTTGCAGTAGTCACCCAGCAGATTTACTAAAAAGCAAGTAAACAAGCAAGAAAACACGCACACACGCAAACACCGACTGCCATAAATTCAATTTCCCCTCAGAGCAATCTTACTTAGGCACACATCTAACTAGAGAAATAAATGACCTACACAAACAAAATCCAAACTCAGAGGAAGAAAAAGTATTAGAGCTTAAATTCTGAGCACCCAATTTTCAGAAGACTATGGGTGACAATTAAAGTCCAAAATCCATTTCCAGAGACCATACAAGGAATGAGCCACCATTGAATACTCTCCGGTCATTGACCAGGCACGTGAAAAGCTCCACCCGCTGACAGAGGACGCCTGAAAGTGGATTATTGCAGACACGGCTACGTTCAAATTGATCATCTTATCATTTTTTTCTGGCTTAACCAGTTTTTAATTTGTTCCATTTTAAATTATTTTGCTTTCTTTTGGATTGAAAAAATTAGCCAATGTCATTGAACAAACTGTACAGAAACTGTTAAATAAAAACCTAATATGTGGTGTAAATTTTCACTGAAAACACAAAATTTTAATTAAGAAAGCAATAGCTATAGAAATTAGGATATGGGTTTTCAAATCTTTACCTGAAAGTGGGAACATAATAAAATTTTGATACACATAAATTAATTTTTAAAAAAGAATCCGTATACGAAAACTACAAAATATACTGTCAGAAAATGGAAGACTAGAGATAATACGTAAATGGAAGAACATACTATACTCATGGAAAGGAAGACTTAACATTGTGAAAATATCAACACTACCGAAAGCAATGCACAAATAGCATGCAATCCCAATCCGGAATCCAACATTGTTCTTTTAAGAGATGGAAAAACCGATCATGAACATCCTATGGAAAGGAAAGAGACTCTGGCTAAGCAAAGCACTACTAAGAAAGAAGGGTAAATAGGAGACCTCTCGTTTCCTGATTTCTGAACAGCCTGGAACTGTGTCAACAACGGACAGATAGAACAATGGAACAGAATTGTGAATACTGAAGCACACTCGTTCATTTATGATCAGCTGCTCTGAGACAGAGGGTGGAAGCACATGAAATGAGGGAAAAGATAGTTCCTTTAACAAATGGTGTTGGCAAAGCTGTTCTCCTTTTGCAGGAAAATGAAAGGAGGAGCCTGATCTCATACCATATATAAAAATGAACTTAAGATGAATCAAAGCCCTAAATATAAAGTCTGAAACTATTTAGACCCTCAATGAAAATATAGGGACAAACTTAGGAGCCTAATACTTGATATTAATACTCTATCAAATATAACTGGAGACACACAAACACAGGAGAAGACAAACTAGACGACGATGACAACTGAGCGTGAGCTCATAGGGCAGGGAGAACTGCTCCTGTGAGTTTCTGAGACTGTACCACATTATAGGTATAGAAAGCCTCTTTTTTTCCCCAAGGAGAGACTGGTGGTTTTGAACTGTCCACCGTGAGCTTAGTAGCCCAATGTGCAACCACTACACTACCAGGGTTCCTGTCCAACATTATTAGCAGAGTTTTAACAGAGAGAGAAAAGAAAACAAATTCAGGCAAAGGTGTGTAGAGACTAGAATCTTCATACGCTGTTGGTAGGGCTAAAAAATAAGTTGTAACTACTGTGGAAGATGGTATGGTGCTTTCTTACAAAGTTGGAAATATAAATACCTTATGATATACACTTGGCATATATCCTAAAGAAATAAAGGCTGTAACATGAACAGGTATAGGTGCATCCCTGCTCATCAGAGCACTATTCACAACAGTAAAAACACGAGAACATACTAGATGCCCATCAATAGATGAAAGGATAAATCAAATTATGGTGTATGTACACCACAATGGAATGCTATGCAACATTAAAAAAAAATGATGACCCCACAAAACACCTCATGCCACAGATAAGCCTGAAGGAAATTATGCTGAGGGCTATCAGTCAATTACAGAAAGATAAATATTATTATATGAGACCACTATTTAAATAGTTGTAAAAGGTTTTCACGCTTAAAGAAACATTCTATGATGATTATTAAGGGAGACGGGGAAGGGAGGTAAATGGTACTAACTAGAAAACCCCATGACCAAAACTATTGCACATTGAGTCAATTCTGACTCACAGTGACCCTATAGTACATAGGGCAGAGTCGAACTGTCTCTTTGGGTTTCCAAGACTGCAAATCTTTATAGAAGCAGAAGTTACTGCTGGATTTGAACTGTTGCCTTTTGGATTAAGCAGCCCAGTGAATAACTACATCACCAGAGCTCTTACTAACCAGACTGCAGACACTATAAACGTGGGTGAAGGGACAGGTAAGACACAGAAGAGGGAGGTGAACAAAGATCAATGAGAGCAAAGGCAGACATTACATTGTGGGGACTGGAATCAATGAGATGAAGCAAAATGAATTGTTAGGTAGAAACCCGATATTCTCTGTATACCTTCACCCAATTCTGAATTAAAAAGTTGTTTTCAAAACCGCTAAAATTCTATGGTATACATCTAATACCACAATGAAATACACTATAAAACCCTAGGATGGAAATACATTCTGAAACAAGGTTATGTATGCAGCAACTCGTAGCTTTATCCAAAGCTTTTGACATAGGTTTTACTTTTCTCGTTTCACCAGAGATTGGTCAGTCCAGCATGAAAGGCTCCCCTGACTTAGAGGATTCTGAAAATAATTGTCTCACAATTACGGAGTACAATCACAGTACATGTCTCACATGTACTCTCTGCGCTAAGCTCCTTCATGTCTGTGACTCCATTTAATTCTCCTAAGAACCTGTTTTTGCCAATGAGGAATCTGAGATTCAGAAAACGTCGGAAACCAGCCCAAAGTGTCCTAGCCAGTAAGAGGAGGGGTGTGAGGCTGGTGGGGGGGGTGGGGGTGTGGGGGGGGGGGGGGTGTCTGCTGCTCAGTGGGGGGTTCTCATCCACAATGGCAGAAAGTTCTGCTACCCACGTGAGTCTCACTCAACTCTTCACACCTCCCACGTTTTACTTTAGAAATCGGTTGGCATTGAGCTTGTAGACCACATATGACTACATTTCGTAGCAAAAGAAAAGCCATGTCCAATCCTATACCTTGAGATCATCCAGGTTTGACGGGAGCGGGCCTGGCTTGAGAGAGGAGATGCCAGTTTGTCCAGAAAAACTATTTTTGACAGGAGACAAAGGAGTGTTGCTTAGCGGTGTTGAAGGAGTGTTGGGATTTCTGACCATCTGTTCATTCGTTTCCCTGAAAAACAGACAAACAAAGAGATCCTGAAAATATTGACAGAGACATGCGAGTTAAGCTGTCATGGGGAGCGGGATCAGAAATGAACTTCTGGCAAAGGCCAGGAGGGTAGGGTGAAGAAAACAGGACAGGGGGCATGAGGGGGCGTGGCATATAGCACCTCAGCTTTGTTTGGGGAAGACCAGAGGGAGTGGTGGAGACTGGTGTATGGGAGAGTACAGGATGGGGGAGCAGGTAAAGGCTGTGCTCAGCACTCAGTATCATTCTCAACACGACTTATGGATGGACAGAGACTCGGGAAGGAATCCAAACCCCTTCTTTAGCCTCTGACCAAACCCTGAGCTCAGAAGTCAGTCACTGAAGCTGACACTTTTCGCCTCTGAAGCGGATAGCCTTCAGCTTTGCTGCCTCCCGAACTCTTGCTGTAGGGTCAATTTGTGACCCCTGGCCGATGCTGGGATTGCTCACACGTTTCACATTGCCGACTTACACAGTTTCCTCTCTCGGTCCCACCAGGCAGTTTGGCGATGCTAAGACACATGTTCTCATCGCCCAAAGGGGCCCGTTATCGGGGTCAGGGCTTTGCATCCTTCCCTTCCCTTATGGACCAAGAGAGGTTTGCATGGTCTCTGAACAGAACCGTATGGTGAACATGCGGGATGGGATGAGGACCTGGTGTAAGATGAGACTTGCTGGCCAGGGTGCGGCAAACAGAGAACAGCCCTCCAGCCCGCCCCCTGGCCCTTACCTTGGTTTGGGCTGACTTACTTAAGCTGAGCGGGGTGGACCCCAGGGTAGTGGAAGCGGTGCTGCTGCTGCTGGCTGAGGATCTGGAGCTGCAGGAAGAGCTGCTGTTGCTGCAGCAGCCGCGCGTAGGCCGAGTCCATGGGGGGCGGCGACTTCTCTGCCTTCTGGTCCGGGGGGATGTACTGGTGATACTTGAGCTTCTTCACCTTCGGCTTGGAATCCTTGGGCTTCTTGTGACGGTTCTTGCTGTCACACAAGGACTTGGACTGGCAAGAGGATGAGGACACGGCAGGTGGAGGAGATGGACGGGGACTCCGTGCATCATGGTTAGCGTGCGAGGAGAACGGGTCTGATGGGCTTTACCTCCGGAAAGATAAAAGCCCCAAACCAAGCTCACTGCCATCCAGTTGCTGCTGACTCAGCAACCCTCTAGGAGAGGGTAGAACGGGCCCTGTGATTTTCCGAACCTGTCACTCTCGCTACTCCCATAGCCAGCGCCATCTCTCTCCCATGTGCCAGCAGGGCTCCCCTCAAAAATATTTCTATGACGGGGTTTCCAAAAAGTCTGTGGGAACAGGATAATGGAAGTTTTCACCGACTTTTCAAAGGCCCCTTCCAAAGCAGTGCCTGGAAACTTGAGGAGCCCTGCAGGTTACACAGTGGGCTGCTCCCCTCAAGGTCAGCAGTTCAAAACCACCAGATTCTCCACAAGAGAAGGTTGAGGCTTTCTATTTAAGGGGAGAGTTAGAGTCTTGGAGATCCACAGGGACAGGTCTACACTGTCCTATAGGGTTGTTATGAGTCAGAATCCACTTGATGACAGTGAGCTTTGTTTCCTGGGTTTTGTGTACACGACCAAATCTACCGAAAACGCATCTCTGGGATGGTGTGGTGGGGACGCAGAACTCTTGGAAGTGGCTCCAGGATTTGCTGGGTAGGGAACGGGATCTAAAACCGTGTTCCACTCAGTATACTCTTCCAATTGCAGCCAGCTGATGGCTTAATAAAAGATGGGTTCAGATATAATGATTTGTTCCTGAAATTCTTTCCTCTGCGTACCTGTGATCACTTTTAGTTGTGTTGTTAGGTACCATTAAGTAGGGCCTCTACGTATAACACTTGGCCCATGGGAACCTGTGGATCACCATGGAATCTTGTGCAGTATCCTATAGTGATCCCTCAGTGATCGAACCCATTGGTTCCATATCTGTATTTGATCACCAAACAGTTCGAGCACTGAACATATTTTCACCATAAAAATAATGGAAAACCAAATAATTGGTTTGGAGGTCCAAAAATTACACTTACAAATTCATTTTTTTGAGACTTTAACACAAAATTAACAGTCCTAGGCTGTCGAAATACCCCCCCCTAAAACATCTAAACACAGTGCAGTAAATAAAATGAATTTATTTGGGGTTTGGAATGGTACACTAACATGGGCTTCTGTTTAAAATCTCCACTAGCATTCCCCTCAACAACAGAAGGAGCCTATCTTTCATAAGCTTGTGGCCTGGCGATGCCTTTTCCTCTTTAGTAACAAACCTCTGTCCTATGGTGCATTTCCCAACCCCTCCACTCCCCAAAAAGGTCTGTTTTCTGAGGCTGTTGAACACTTCCTTGCTGGGGAATGAAAACCCTCAGCCTCCAGCAAACTCCGCCACGGCTGCATAGGCCCGTCTGTATTTGCATGCCTCCCTGCCCCGGGCCTGCCGGTTCCCTTTTTGCAGTTTTCAAACGGGTCGGGACTGGCTTTGACCGCTTCCGCTGCTCAGCACTCGCTCTCGCAGCGATTTTTCACAGACTCGCTTTCAAAGCTTTGAGCCTCCTCGCATATCCGTGTCTGGGATACACGGTCACATTTCACTTGTTACAGATTTATCCAAATTAACAGTCACTTTTCAACCCCTTCCATGGGCTGGGCTCTTTTTTGTGTGTGTGGTTAGCGATTTCACACCTTTCGCTCCATTAACCACTTTAACATTTTTTCCCCAAAATGTCGATAATGTCGACTTAGCCGCCAAATCAGACAAGCGGCGATGATTCAAATTTTGCCATGATTTAAAAAAAATCTTACTCTATCATGGTTCTCAATTTTTCTCTTAGCTTTTTGGGATGGCTAACTTTCTTTGTAGTCATGGCGACGATATTTTACACAAATAAAGCGCAGAAACAGCACACGATGACTGAGTGCTTGAATGCGCTTGCAGAAGCACTGGACGAGCCAGGGCAGCAAAAGCCATCTCCTCCCGAACAGGCTTCTTCAAGTGGGATTTTCGGTTCGACTCTGGAGTTTGAGCGTGACCAACCTATCACTGCACGGGAAGTGGGGTCCCTCAGGCTGCAGGCACACAGTGGCTGCCGCAAAAGGCTCAGACACCCCAACCACCAGGAAAGGGACCCCAGACAGGGGGCCATCTCCTCTCACACATTGGTCACCATGACTTGGAGCCAAGTTCGCGGTAATTAACAACCACAGTCACATCCGTATCCAACGCTTGTACTTAATTCTATTTTTGAATCCTGAAGTTAGACGCCTCCACATATCAAATAGATGAATCTAATCCTGTAGTCAGCGAAGCACGATCAATTTTCACACTCTGGCCTGATTGTAAAAGGTTACGACTGACAATGGTTTGGGCGGATTGGGGAGCAGAGGGTGACACAAAGTGTGGTTCCAGCAGTGTCCAGAAGAGGGGGCGCCTCAATAGCTGACAGGCATATTCTGATGGGCTCTTCTCCCATTTCAACCGCAAACTACACATCTCCTTGTGACCTTATCCAAAGAACTTACAACTCGTTTCCCTCTGACTCAGCACTTTGCACCCCCGCGGAAGGCTCTCATTCCTTTTTTTTTTTTTTTTTAGGACACTTCTTCCTGGAGACGAACGTATAATGAGTACAAGTGCTCCCGTGTGCGCTCGGCGCCTGGTCTTCCCTTCAGTGCGTGATTAGCAGTCTAGTTAATTAATCAGTGTCCCTCGGAGAATCTCTGCAGGGTGCCCAGCTCTGCCCTGCCCTGCTGCAGCTTCGCTTCTGCTCCCACCCTGTTCTCCTGTCCTTGGCTTCCTTGTCTGGAAGCAAGGAGGGACTGAAGCCGTCCTGAGACTCGCAGCTACATCAGGGGTAGGATCACCTCCCCTGACCCCGTTCCTTAGCACAGGGACCCTGAGCAGTCCTGAAAGGACCAGCAGAGGCCCAGTTGACCTGATCGGAGTAGGACAGTGAAGGCAAAGAGACAACGAACACATCAAATGTGTACTTTCATTCTTTTTTTTTTTTAGCCCAGATCCAACCCATTGCCATTGAGTTGATTCTGAATCAGAGCAACCCTATATAGCGTTTCTGAGACTTTAAATCTTTATAGGAGCACAGTATCATCTTTCTACCTCAGCGTAGCTGGTGGGTTTGAACCGCTGAGTTTGTTAGCAACTCAGTGCATATCCAACAGTGTTCCCAGGAATCTCCTTCCCTTTGGGCCCAGGCCATACTGACCACTTCCTCAAACCTGCTATCATCAAGGGGGACTCAGAGCAACAGGAGAGGACTCAACAGAAAAGCCCCACAGGGTTTTCAAGGTTGGGCTGCGAACCACAGGTCAGCAGTTTGAAACCACCAGCCTCTCCATGGGGGCGGAAGACAAGGCTGTCTACTCCAGTAAAGGGTAACAGCTTTGGAAAACCACAGGGGCGGTTCTCCTCCATCCTGCAGGGCCACTATGAGTTGGAATTGACTCGGTCAACGGCAATGAACTTGGTTTGTGGAATCTTTATCAAACAACACACTGTACTGTGGAAATCTGCTACACAAGGCCTCTTGTAGTCAAGGGTGTTACTGTGGGGGCTAAGGTGCACCTGACCCAAGCCATGGTACTTTCAATCACCTCATACGCATGTGAAGGTGGACGTTGAATAAGGAAGGCCGAGAAGAATCCGTTCATTTGAACGGTGGTGCTGGAGAAGACTACTGAAAGTACGTGGATGACCACAAGAACAGTACAGCCGGAATACTCCTTAGAAGCAAGGATGGCAAAACTTGGTCTTGCATATTTTGGAGATGTTGTCAGAGAGTGCCGTCTCTGTAGAAGGACGTGATACTTGGTGAAGTGGAGGGGCGATGAGAAAGAGGAAGTCCTTTGACAAGATAATCGAGGCAGTGGCTGCAACCAGGGGCTCAAACAGAAGAGCAGTGTGAGGATGGGGAGGGCCTGGGGGGTGTTTAGTTTCATTGTACACACGGTGGCTGTGATCAGAACCAACTTAACGGCAGCTAGCAACACCAATCTTTGTGGATGTCGGCTTTCCCATCTTTCTCCAGCTGAGTGGCTGGTGGGTTCTGACCACTGACCTTTTGTTTGTCAGCTGACTGCCTGAACCACTGTGCCACCAGGGCTCCCTCTGTGGATACTAATATTGTTTCATTAAGATCAGTTGCCCTGCAGTTGACTTTGACAAACGGCAACCACCTGCGTATGAGGGGCGAGCTGTGCTCCATTCTGGTTTCAATAGCTGATGTTTAGGAAATAGATCGCCAGACCTTCCCTCAAGGCACCACTGAGTAGACTTGAACTTTCTTCTTCTTATTATTATTTTTAAATCATTTTATTGGGGGCTCATGCAACTCTTATCACAATCCATACATCCATCCATTGTGTCAAGCACATTTGTACATTTGTTACCATCATCATCCTCAAAATATTTGCTTTCTACTTGAGCCCTTGGTATCATCTCCTCATTCTCCCCGCCCCCCACTCTCCCTCATGAACCCTTGATAATTTATAAATTATTATTATTTTGTCATGTCTTACACTGTCTGACATCTCCCTTCACCCACTTCTCTGTTGTCCGTCCCCCAGGGAGGGGGTTTCATTTAGATCCTTATAATCGGTCCCCCCTTTCTACCCCGCCTTCCCTAACCTTTCAGTTAGCACCATTCAGGGAGAACATTGGATTGTTATTATTGCTTCAGAACCGCATGGCCAACAGCCTCACTCACTGCCAACGAGTCAATTCCAACTCACGGAGACAGATCGAGCAGGGTACAACAGCTCCTGTGGGATTCTGAGACTGTAAATCTTCAGAGGACCAGAAAGCCTCAGCTTTCTCCCACGGAACAGCTGGTGGGTTCGAACAGCTGGGCTTGTGGTTAGCAGCCCAAAGTGTCGTCCACCACACCACCAGGGCACTTGTATCACCAACAGTCGGGGGCCATATTCATCTATCTAAAAGAGCAACTCCCCTCCTTACACTCCTCCTCATGCAAAACAAAAACAAAACAACCCAAAGGCAAAGCTCTTGGCATTGGATGAAGTCTGCTCTTGACAATCCCATGTAGGGAGTTCTTGACTGCTTCATAGGGATTTCACTAGGCCTTTATTCTGTGGTGGTGCTGGCTGGGCTTGGACTCCATGCTTCAATGAACAGTCGAGCACAAACCTTGCACTGTAGGAGCTGTTGTGGGGTAGTGGGTTATGCATAGGGCTACTAACTGCCAGGTTAGCAGTTTGAAACCACCAGCTGCTCCGTGGGAGAAAGATGAACTTCCTACTCCCATAAAGAGGTACAGTCTTGCAAATGGAAACCCACGGGGTAGTTCCATCCTGCCCCAAAGGGTCCTTATGAGTCGGGATTGACTCGATGTCAGCGAGAAGGTTCTACAGCAGAAGTAGATCCAAACTCCAGTACTGACAACCCGTGGTCACTGAGCCAGTTCCCGCTCATGGTGACCCCAAGTAGGGTATCTGAGACGGTAATCTTTACGAGCCCACACTGCCTCATGGCTCTCCCTTGGAGCGGCTGGTGGGTTTGACCCTGCCCCCTGGCACCACCAAACCCAGGCAGAAACGCACGGACCAGATTCGTGTAATGCCAAAGAGTTGTTGCGGCTAGTGGCCAGACAGTAAGTGTCTTTCAGTTGGACTCAAACCAGCACACAAAAGTAGGTCTGGCAAGCAGTGCTTCAGCCCCAAGTTCACTGGCCCATCCTAACCTTCACCGTGAGGTCCTAACTCTGGAGTCCGGCAAGAAAAACAGTTCAATAATCTGCCCAAACGTGCCTCCCTCCCCGGTAGTTAACACCTCTTGTTTTGTGTTTAAACAATTTCCTGCTCAACCACTGTGGCCAGCTCAAACCCAGGCCCATCTGGAAAGTGACTCTGAACCTACAGAGCTGTCTCCTCCTCCTCGGTGGTATTGCTTTACTGGGAGGTGGAAAAGCCTACTGTCCATCTAGGACATAAAGACCACTCCCCACCCCCACGTTTCTTGATATGCCACAGGGACCGTCATTTTAAACACGGATAGTTACTTCAGGTTATAGCTTTTATCTCTCTATCATCTAATCTACGTATCTATGCATGTATCTATCTTCAGCTCTCATCCATCGAGGTGAGCAGCCCTGGTAAACAGTGGGTGATACACTGGGCTGCTGATTGCAGGTTCAAGCAGTTCAAGCTCCCCAGACGGTCCTGAGGGAGAAAAATCAGGTTGTCTGCCCCCACAAAGATCTACAGCCTCCGAAACCTCACGTAGGGCTGCGAGGAGCTGGAGCGGACTTGCTGAGAGTGAGTTCACTTTGATGTATGTGGATGGAGATTATGTGTGTGTGTGCATGTGTGCCTCAAAGCCCTACATCGGATCACTAGGAGTCAGAATCAACTCAGCAGGTGCGTATATACACACACACATACGTATACCCATCACTACCCACTTGCTGACCCTATTCTGACTCATTCACACTCGATATAGGGTTTCTGAGGTTATAAGTCTTTATGGGAAGAGAGAGTCATTCAGACACGACTAAAATAGGCCCACAGCAGCCATTTCGGTGATCAGTGGGTGGTGACACTAGAGCTGAGACAACACACGCTCACATCAATTAGAAGTGAGTTGGGATACAGTTAGAGGAAGGGCCGGCCGACTCTCAGCCGTTTCATTTGGGAGACAACACTGTGAACTATTAGCTACAATAACCTGACTAGAAAATCAAATAGGAAACCTCATTTGTCACAGAAAATGGAAGCCAAAGACCCTGTACTGCTCACAACGCTTGTCCAACATGGATGCAACGCCGTCCGACCCCAGCACTCACTGCCGTCTTCATTCCCGTTGGGAGACTGAATTAAATGGTGTAGATTTTACTTCAGGCAAGGCTTCTCTTGCATGCAATTCAACTGCCCAGTCCTGATTTTATGGCGTCGCAACTCCTATGTGCACTGCAATCACCTGTTTCTCAAGTGGGTTATGGGTGGGACTCCTACCCTCAAGGTTAGCAGCTCTAAACCATCCGGCTGCTCCTCAGGAGAAAGATGAGGCTTTCTACTCTCATAAGGAGTTACAGCCTTGGAAACCCCAGTGATAAGTATACGCTGCCCTTATGGGTCACTATGAGTTGTAATCACTCGATGGCAGTAAGTGTGAGGTTGGTTTTTGTTGTTAGGTTGAGCTGCTGGCTGCACTGGGCTCCTAAGATCCTAAGCAGATGCAAATACACAGACTTCTCGGCAGGGGGAGCCCCACACTACAATGCACAGACTGAGAAAGTTCACGGACTCTCCGGCCTTAGGAAGCTCTCAGTGGGCTGATTAGGCTGGAAGGGTCTGCGCAGCCTCCTCATAGTGCAGAAGGCTCTGGAGGAGGTGGTGGGCGTGGCGGGCGGGGCATGGAGGCTGGCCCTTACCTTGACGGCGGCGGCGTGAGCAGGCACTGGGCTGCCCAGGGCACCCAGGCCCTGCTTCCTGGCCTCTGACTGGTTGCCTGGCTGTGATGCGGAGTCATTTCTGTCCTGTTCCGAGCCAGAAGCAGGATCCTGAAATCGACAAATCCACATGATGAGGATGAGTCCATTACGATCTGTGTCCCAGGATGCTAACGCCGAGTCACAGCTTGAATAAGCGCTCCTTACCCTAGTAGAAACCAGGCTGCCTGCCCGCGGGAGCACGGGCCCTGTGCACCGTGGACATCCACAGCGGGGCACGTTCGAAAGAGAGAAGAGGCTGCGTTCGTAGAGATTCCAGAAAACGGATGCGCAGCTGGTTTGTTGGACCACCTGGTCCCCGGAGAGAAGATTCTACCTGGCTGGGATACGTTCCACCTGCTGGTCTTGAAAACAGGATGGACAAGGCGGACAGGAAGGCTGGGTGGTGTGGGAGCGTTGAAGGATGAGGGGACGGTCTTAGCAGAGAGAGGGCGAGTGCAGGTGTGGGTTGGAACCAGCAACCAACATACCCTGGCTCATGGCAACCCTTTGAGTGGCAAAGGAATGCTTTCAGAAGCTGACTGATTTCCAGGGCTTTCTTCTGAGGCACCTCTGGGTAGGTGTGAACCACCTGTCTTTCAGTTTACTAACTGGAGGCTTTGCACCCCCCAGAGACTGAACTAGCGTAAAGCCAAGCCTTTATGAGATGCAGGTTGCTGCTCACAGACGACGTAGGAGAGGAGTCATTCTCTTCTCTCTTGTATGCTTCAGCTCTTCCCCAAGGAGCCCTGGAGACACTGGGCTGTGATCTGCAAGGTCAGCTGCTTGAACTCACTAGCTGCTTTACACAGGAAGACCAGGCTGGCAGTTTTCCTAAAATTCACAGCCTCAGAAACCGGAGGGACAGTTCTGCTTCTCCCGATAGGCTTGCTATGACTCTGTGGCAGGGAGTTTGGAATTATCGGATCACTCTGACCCCAGGGGGCAGACTAAGGACTACTCTTGCCCCCCTCTCCCATGGGAGCAGGTGTGAGATCTCCTCCTGGAGACCACCCACGGCCAAAGGTTTTTGCTCTCCGCGCCTGAGCTTCCTCTTGTCCAGCGAGGGAGTTGCCAGGTGAAATGAAAGAGAATGGCCTTGCGTGTTGCTGAGCCCTGCTCAGTGAGGATTCCTCTCCCCTCCTCCTCCCATAGGGTTAAGCCGAGAAGAGTTCATCTCTCCAAACCGTCCTTAAGTCAGAAATGGAAGGATTTACTGTCAGAGTAATACAGACACAGGGTCTGATATACTGTGCGATGTTATCAACGAAGCGGGGCTGCCAAGACCAGCTGCGGCACGCAGAAGAGAAAGTGCTTTGATTATAAACTCTTGCACAATAAACATATGAATATTTGGTCCGATTTTTCAAGCCTTCATCCTCCCTTCCATTCGATGCTCCCCTCCCCCGCTTGGCAGCCTTCGGAGCTTTGGCTTCAAAGGAGTGGAAACTGCTTGAGAACCACCAAGACCTGGCATGGTTTGGGGGAAGAGGGCTCCAGATAGGAAGGCGTATCACTACCCTTGCTGTTTGTTTGTTTGTTTTTACTAGCCTTGGTATTTGTGTGATGTTCTACAGCTGGCAAAACGTTTTCAGAGATGATATCCAATTTCAATCAGTTGAACCACCCAGGACCTCTGGTGGCATAGTGGTTTCCCAAGGTCAGGAGTTGGAAAGCTAACCACAAGGTCAGGAGTTGGAAAGCCCCCAGCATGCTGTGAGAGAGAAACAAGGCTTTCTGCTCCTGTAAAGAGATAGAGGCAGAAACTCACAGAGGCAGTTATACCTGTCCTAGAGCGTCTTCTCTGGCGTTGACTCAGTGGCGGTGAGTTTGAGGGTTTTGATTTAGTTCGGCTGAAGGAAGAAATCTTCCCACTGCAGGGAAGGCGGCCGAGGTCAGAGGGTTTGCTCTGAGCCCGGACGTGGCAGAGTCAGACTTGAAGAGCTCAACCCTTCCTGCCCATGCTCAACTCTGTCTGTGGGCGCCCAGACGCACCTCCTCCCAGGGCTCCGTGGAGACTGCTCTCCTTGTCTGAGCTGGAATGGGAGAGGTGGTGGTTCACTCGTAGAGTTCTTGAAACACAGGCTTCGTTTGGGCCAGTGCACCTCGTGCACAGCGGCCACGCGTTGGTCATGGAGGCTCGCATGTGGTAATGTTGCTGACTATGTTTCAGCAGAGCATCCAGACTAATGTGGACTGGGAGGAAAAGTCTGGCAATCCATGGGCCACGATGATCTGATTTGCATCTGGCACCAGACAGGGCAACGGCTCTTTCCGTTGCTCATGGATTTGTCCTGAGTCAGGGACTGACTCATCGGCCAGCTAACAACGAGGGAGCAAACCTCCTGCCAAGCTGCTAGGGGTGGACTTTCTGAGGATGGTGGGGTCTCCATGGCGCTCATCTGGCCTCATGGAGCCTTTTCCCACCTTCTGTCAACATTGACATCAATAATACCTACCCGGAGGGCTCGGGACAACAAATGTGATAGTGTCTGTTAAGTACTTAGCACGGTCCCCACATAAGAGTGGGCGCTATGTAGCTGTTCTCATTGGTCTCCTTTGACACTCTGAGAAAGGGGAGCAGGTTGTACATCTGTTTGTAAGACGACTCAACAGCCACCCCTTACTTTTTGCGAGTTTGCAGATTTGGAATTTGGCCTGACCAAGTTGAGTTGGGTTTGGGTTGGCAGGGGCGGTTGCTAGAGATGTGCTAACTGCAGTTCTGCTCTGTATCCAAATCCACCTCTTCCCCCTTTCTCTCCAGGCACTCATAGGTCCTCTTAACTCATCTGGAAGCCAGTCCTGCCTGCCCCAGACCCCGTTAGGCTGGGATGGTGGAAAGAGTCATCGACTCTTAATGAACATTAGTCACAAGTAGACAGAGAATGTTCTGGAAATGTTGATGGCAACGTGTGTAAGTGTGCTTAATACAACTGAAGGATGGGCTGTTAGAAGATCTGTAAGCGCGGCCTCAAAAAAATGGTTAATAAGAAAATGGAGATGAACCCATCACTGGGGTGAGCAGATGTTCAAATAATTAAATCAAAGAACATTGTTCTGGGACTTTTCTCTCAGTGTCTATGGGGTGGTGATATTTACTTTCAAGACTACGGAGAGATTAGAGGCCAAGTGGTAGCTTGTTTACCTGAATTGTCCCCAGAGAGCCCACCAGAGTGGTCTCCACAGCTTTGGTGTCAGATGGGGATCCGGTGGCAGCCTGTGGGTCGTCACTCCGAGTCTGATCTGGAGAAAGCCCATCGCTGCTGCTGTCCTCTTCAAAGGCAAATGCGTCTGCTGACTTGGAGAAGCTCACCTGGTTCCCTGAGCAAGTAAAACCCAAAAATGGGGTCAGTGGCTCAGCGAACATCAAAATGCTTTCGAAATGCTTCGTTGAGTTATTATTTCTTAGAAACCTACATAGATTTCTTTGGATTAGTTTCAAATTCAAGGTAAGAGTGCATCCATATTTGAAATTAAATATATTTTTTTCATATTTATGAAAAATCATTTTTTTCATAAAAACTCTCAAGTGGAAGTTTGGGGTGGTAGATTTGGTCTGTTCGGCTGGGAAAGTATGAATGATACATTACAGGTCGATCATCATTTGTTAAACTTTATTGTCAGGGTTGTCTGTTTCTTTAGCTTTACTATGTAAATCTGGTTAATGCTGTGGTTAATGCAGTTTTCTACTAAGCAAAGTTGGACATTCACCAGAGATGACTCCCCAGAAAGGATTCGAGGTCTCCTTCAGAAAAATCAGCAAATGAAAAATCCTATGAAGTTCAGTTCTACTCTGGTATGCATAGGGCTTCATGAGTTGAGGGTCAACTAATGGCAACAGGGGTCATGGTCTATGTGAACCTAACTTTTTCTTTAATTGTTGAAGACACTACACCAAAACATATACAATGTCAAAAATGTCTACATGTACAATGTTATGACAGGGATTAAATTCTTCCAATTTGCAGCCTTTTTAACCTACCTTTTCCAATTTGTTCTTCCCTTACCGACACAGACTCACATCCCTCTAAACTTTCAAGCCTTGTAAATTGCTGTTAATAATTTGATACTATATATTAAGTTCTTAAAACAACAACAACAACACAATACTCACCACAGACATTCTTTACCAGTTAAACTAGACTATTATCTGGTTTAAAGGCGACCTCTGGGGTATATTTTTCATTTATGGTTTCAGGTTAAAGATGACCTCAGGGCTGTGTTGTTGTTGTTGTTGTTTTTTTTGGGGGGGGGGGATTCCTACAGCCTCAGTGGCTCCAGAAACTCTGGATTCTATGAGAATTGAAATTATATCCCATAATTTCCCCCCTTTTATCAGGATTTTTCCTTTAGACTATTTCATCAAGATGTTCAGTTATGGTTGTTGGGCACTATCTAATTCTTTAGGTTTCCTGACAAAGACAGTTGTTCATGGAGGCAATTAATCTTCCTTCTCCTAGTGCTGACTCTTCTTTGGCCTCTCTTTGCTCCAGGTGAATAGGGACCAACTGCTGTACGTTAGATGGCTGCTTGCAAGCTTTGAGACTCTAGACACTGTGCAATGAACAAGGAGGTAGAGTAGGCACCCGAAACACAGTCTTAGCCCATTACTGGGATCTCCTACAAGGTCATGACTCTACACCCCCAAACCAGGAAGTGTTTTGTTATATATAAGCAGCCTCAACAGATACTTTTTGATGTTGCAAATAAATGATCTACTGCACTGAAAAGGTCAAATTATTACAGGTATGCAATGTAGTAACCCTAGTGACACTCATGGGCTGTTAATCCAGTACCTGTGACCCATGAGCTTCTTCTATAATCTTACACAGAAACTTAGGGCTCCACAAGAAGATAGAACTTCCTTTCTCCTCCACTGCCTCCACTGCTGGGAACCACAGGTGCACTTGGTTTCTCTACCCTGGACTAGCCATATCCTTTTTTTTTCTTCATAACCCTTACTCTAACCCTATATCTAACACCAACACTAACCCTAAACCTAATCCTAGCCCTAAAACCAACCCTAATCCCAAATCTAACACCAACCCTAACCCTATTCCTACCCCTAGCCCTAAGACAAACACCAAAACTAAACCTCACCCTAACCCTCACCCTGACTCTAACACCTACCCTAACCCTAACCCCTAACCCCTAACCCTATGCCTAAAACCTAGCTAAACATAACCCTAACCCTAAGACTAACTCAAACCCTAACCCTAACCCTAAATCTAACACCAAGCCTAAGCCTAACCATAACCCTAAGCCTAACACTACCCTTAACCCTAACCCTAACCCTAACCGAAACCCTAACCCTAAGTGTAACCTTAACGAAACCTAACCCAAACCCAACCCTCGCCATATCTTTTTAGAAGGAAGGTCATGAAATAGTTGACATCATCATGCTACACCATGGAAGGACCTAGAGGGCATTGTATCGAGTGAAACGATGCAATCAATCACAAAAGGAAAAACATTGTATGTTTCTGTGTGCTATCAAGTCCAGTCTGACTCCTGGCCTCGCTTTCTATAAAAAGGTAGGCGCAGGAAAATTACAGAGAGCAAAATTGATTGGTGGTGAACCTCTATGTTTTAGGATGACATCAAGGAAGGCAAACAAGGGTGCTGGATGCAGGCTAACCCCGAAGTGGGACCACAAGAGGAGAGTGTCACCGTCTCCTTTGAATCTTAAGAGGAGACACACAGTCGAGATGACAACATCCGTCTGTATTGTTTTCACATATAGAACAGGACACAAAGTGCAACATGTTTAACAAACTTTGCTAACCAGGATAAGCTAGGTCAGCTACTAAGTTTAAATTCCTAAACGTCAGAATTAGCCAATGCCACCACCATGTCCCAAAGCCCCATTCAACGAATGGCTAATTGTTTATAAAACCCATAAACGTGTCTCAGAACCTTCAGTGTGATGCTTTTTACATTTTTTTATTTGGACTTGCTTTTTATTCTTCCTATCTTTGCGTATATTTTGGAAACCCTCGATGGCTCGCACATGGAGAGATCCCACCACAGTCTGTATTGTCTTCCTACGGGAATAGAGAAGTTGGCTTGGGGAGTGTGGGGTATCCGTCCAGATGGGAATATAATGACATCCTTATATGTCCCTTAGGTTTTTATTGCCAAAGCCCATCTGGCTGACTCTCCAGCTACACAGTACAAAATGTGCTGAAACCACACAGCTGCCCTGACACGGATCCAGGCCGGGCTCTGCTAGAGGAATTCAGGTATTATCAGGATGGTTTCCAGCCCGGCATTCGGTAATCACCGTGACAAGAACTTTTGACTCTCGCTTTGTGCAGATAAGAGGAAGAGCCTTTTATTGTGGCGACTGGGAAGGCAGCAAGAAGCTGGAAGTAATGGAACAAATGAGGTGTGGGACTTGTCATCGCGCCTACCCCTGGCACCTGTCATAGACCCCCATGCTGACATCCACAGGTCAAAGCCGGGAAGAGACCGGGCCAAGACAGGGTGGGTGGACACAGCTGTCACCGGCCCATTGTGTGGCCTACAAACCTGAAAGGGCATGGACACTAACAGTTCTGCTTCATGCATCCTGGAGTGGAGTTGCTTATGAAAGTTTTGCTTTCTCTTTTTCTAATTTTAAAAGTATGAATATTTGTATAAATACATATGTAACATTTGACATTTAATGACTGTAAAAGTTATATATGTGTTATAAAAATCCGTGTCATATGAAAATGCCTACTGTGTATCATAATCCCACTTCCTCTTAACGAGTTGTCTTCTATTATTTCTCTTTGAAAAGCTCAAAAAACAGAAACACATTAAAAATCTGTTAAGCATATTATATGCGGATCAGATTGAATGAAAGACACTGTTCTGAAACTTTTTTGTTTTAACTCTACAATGTTTCTTGGGAGATCTTTTCATGGGAGGACATAGGGATCTTCCTCAATTGCTTTGGTTTTCATTTATTTTTTGATGTGAAAAATTTCTTAACTTTTCCTTGCACCGTGCTTTTAATTAAAAAAAATAAAACTAGATATTTACAGAAAATAAAATAAAATTTCTATTTATACATCACCTGAAATAGATAAACACACTGTATTTGTATCAGCAACCTATTCATTTTTTCATTTGGGTTTTCTTTGGGTGTTTGACAAATACCAACTTCTTTCTTGGCGCTCTGGTGGTGTGTGGGGGTTACACGTTAGACGGTTAGCCCTAAGGTCAGCAGTGCAAACCTGACCATGACTTCCTCCTAGGAAGAAGAGGATGCCTGCTCTTGCAAAGGTCTACAGCTCTGACCTTGACTTCCTCCTAGGAAGAAGAGGCTGCCGGCTCTTGTAAAGGTCTACAGGTCCAACCGTGACTTCCTCCTACGAAGAAGAGGTTGCCTGCTCTTGCAAAGGTCTACAGCTCTGACCATGACTTCCTCCTAGGAAGGAGAGGCTTCCGGCTCTTGTAAAGGTCTACAGGTCCGACCATGACTTCCTCCTACGAAGAAGAGGATGCCTGCTCTTGCAAAGGTCTACAGGTCCGACCATGACTTCCTCCTAGGAAGAAGAGGCTGCCGGCTCTTGTAAAGGTCTACAGCTTCAGAGACCCAGGAGGGCAGTTCTACTCTGTCCTGTGGGTCACTAAGGTCAGAAGTGACTCCATGGCAGTGTTCTTATGCTTGTTTTTGAACTTCTTCTTGGAAGCTGGGGTCACTCTTCTCCTTCTTCGGCACTCTATCCAAAACACCCCCTTCTCTATTTTAAGAATCCAGAGTTAGCTTTTACTGTGTCTTCTTCCTATTCTCAGAACAAACCCCTGGCTCTCCAGAGAAACCATGGCTCATCATTCGTCATTCAATGTGAGAGAATGAATACCCTGCTCTTCTCTTTTTTTCTCAGGAAGATCATCTGCCTGAGCTTTTCCAAGGAAGATACTTCCAGGTGGCTTTAGATTTCCCTGCATTAGAAAATGGATGTTCATGGGAATTTCATGCCCATTTCTAATTGTTGGATGAAAGGCTTTGTCCTTGTTAAAAGATTACGCATATTACTGAGGGCTAGGCAGATTTGGGATGAGTGTTAATGATGCCTTGTCTACCACAGAGATCACCGCCTTCCATTGGCATCCTCTGAGCCAACCCCATGCATGCTATCAGTGAATCCAGCATAAGACTACGTTAGCCCAGCAGCGGACCGATCTACTCTCACATTCCCTTCCCTTTCTGAGGTCCTTGGGACAGCTAAAACAACTCACACTCAAACCACTGGTGGTTTAGACTCACCCAACAGGCCTTCCAATCGTTTATAAAACCACAGGCAGGAAAACCTTACGGGGCAGTCTGA